CTGCACTTGGAAACTATTTGAAAAGGCAAATCCCATTGTGCTCATACTCTTTAGGCTCTCACAGGGCAGGGCCTGCGGTGCTGTAAGTCACTATGGTCGTTGGTTTCCTCTGTTTTAACAGCAACGCAGAGTGCTAGGAGCAGATGCAAAGAATGAAACAGGTGATACCTAGCACCCAGCATTCACACCTCGCGTGTGTTGGTTATTTATACTCCTAACGAGCTCTTCTCTGTGCAGATAGACTGAATATAGTGATTGGAGTGAGTTAGGCTCTCGGACAGCATGTGTCAGTTTAGTTTAATCTGAACAAATCCAGTTTTCCCACTCTAAGACTGTTCCATGATGAGAACCAAGGCACAGCAAGCAAATATAGATGCTTATGAATTTCACTTTTAATTCTCCTGATCCACACCAGAACATCAGTGTGGATGTACCCATTGCTTCCTGGGCATGGTTGACAGTGTGTGCGCGCATGGACGGCTGTGCTCTGTTTGGCCAGTCCCTGTTTCACCAGGGCCCCAGAATCTGGGAAAGGCTATATTTCTCATGTCACCTACATGATTGGAAGCTGAATCTCTGCTGTAGAAGGACACCAAACAACATTTGTTAAGCTGTTACCCAAGAAACACCGCTGAGAGCTAGTAAATGGCCAGGCAGGTCTAGTGCATATCTCCTTTATTCAGTAATATCCCTTTCAGGGATGGGACATTCCACAAAATTTACATTCTGGCAATAAGGTACTCTTAGAGGAATGTGAATTGAGGCATGGGATTTTGGCTGGACCTTGTCCATATTATTCGTATAACCCTACAATTTCGAGCTGGTTGCTTAAAAAACAAGAGGTGAAGAGGTTTTCTGATGACTAACAGCCTACAAATAATCTTCCATACTTGTCCACTTCATAGAAAAATCCCCCCAGGTTTTTGGAAGTGCCAGCCAGCCTACCTGAGGACAGCACGCACCTGCAGCACCACCATGTGGTCCATGGGGACTTGAAAGTCCGTGGGAGCTGAGTGTCTGCTGCTGTCGTGGTTCAGGGTCTCTGTTTGCAGGTGGAACTGGAAGTTGGTAGCCAAGGATCTAGTGCATAGTGTGCTTTGCTTCTTGTACCTCTTTTTTTGCCCTGACATCAAGCCAGATGGCTTGGCTAGATGGCTTGACTCCTCCTATTGGCACCCCACCTCCCCTGGGTCAGTAAGTAATTCTGTGGTTTCAGTGCTGATCTGCATCTTACAAGTACATGTAAAAATGATGAGTTTGACTTCATCACTTCTAGTTTGAGTTAGCAGATCAGGAATATCCAGCTTTGGTCTGGTTTCTATTTGAAGTTTATGCCACTTTTTTCCAGCCTCACATTTGACACATGGATTTTGCATTGAATATAGTAAAACCACTGACTTCTAAATCAGGGTCCTCACTGCCATTCACACTGTTTGGCTCTGTGCTATTGGTTTCTGTCACAGACGTGTCCTGATACTGTTGGGAAAAACTGAACTTCGACTCAGGGCTACAAATGAAAATTGGAATGTAGCCCTGGTTACATGGGTTTCATCCAGAAGTCACCAAGGGGTTAGCTGTCAGTGAATCTGTCTTATGTGTGGGGTATGATGGATAACAGACGGCTGTCTGTCACACCCTGCCTTGCTCAGAGCCCACACTTTGTGGTTTTATGAAGTTGAACTGTCCTAGGATTGTATCATTTAAACTCTTAACTCGACTTCTTCTGCAGTATGGGTTGAAGGAAGCAAGTTTTAGTTTATTATTTTCCTCCAAATACTGGTCATATTTTGCTATTGTCTGCATGTTTACAGAATGATATTTTTCCAGGAAATTGCTGTGTGGTGTGTTTCCCTCCTCTGATTAAATTCTGGAGAGCCACCAAAATAAATAGAAAAATTACTTGAAAAACTAATGATGTGTCAACACAACACTGAGTATAAATTATATGAGGGCAGCCTTACTCTTTTTCCCTAGTTGTTACAAAGTACTATTTTAAATACCATTAATATTATTTAAATGCTATGAATTTCTGAGATTGCTGAATACTTGTATTTTTAAGTGTTCTCAAATACTGGATGGAAAATACTGTGTAATTAGAAAGCTAACAGTGAAGTGCTTTTGCTTTCTGGGCCATGCTGCCTTGCTGTGGCTGGGTGTTTAATGCTGGCATCCTGCTGGGTAAGCACACCCTGGTGAAGTGGGAATGATGAGTGCAGAATTACTGAGTGGGTGAAACTGCCAGTGATTTAAAATACCTGTAACCGGGGACCTTCTCCAGGTGGTGAGATTTCATTTAGTGCTGGGTAAAACAGAATTCATGTTTATGTTGATTAAATCTACAGGTATTCGAATGCTTGACCAGCCATTTATGACAGACATTATTGAGGCTTCCTCCATCAGTCATATGCCTCAAGTCATAGATATATATAGTGCCAGCTGGGGACCAACTGATAATGGGAAGACTGTGGATGGACCTAGAGAGCTAACACTGCAAGCAATGGCAGATGGTGTGAACAAGGTAACAGTCTTCTTAATAACCTGGGTACTGGGGCAGAATGATGTTTATACACTCATGCTGAAACCAACGACGTGGCAAAACAATGCAGTTGTGTAAACTATTCCAGCTTTCAGCGTATTCCAACATTTACTGATGTTCTCTCCTCAATATTTTGGCAATATTTTGGCATTGATTTTATTATCTAATCTCAGCACACTGTGTTTATCTCTAGTCAGCTTACATATGTTTTTCAGATGCCATCGTGGTCAAAATGAAAGAGCCTGATCTTTTAAATATTCCCAAGGTTGAAACATGCCAGCTGTGCTCCTGACACCACATTGTCTGTTTTAGTGTGGTACCAATTTAATTATTGTTTTGGATTTGGAGTGTCTTTCAGGTTACTCATATAAGGTGATTATTATAGCTGTGATTGAACTACAGCTGTTCAGATGTCTGTGGAGTAATATCATTCACCAGGAGCAGGAGCCTCTAGGCTTATTCCACCTCCCTCTAGAAGCAGTCGGTGGTCCTTGTAAAAGACACTCAATATAATCCTGTAATCTATTTAACCTGTACAGTATTAGAAGGTTGGGGAAAATGTGTGCCACAACTCAAAAAGAAAACAAATCAGCCCAAAACAAGCAAATCAACCTTGCATGGCTTTGTCTCCATCTCTCGGTGTCATACAGCCAGGACAACCATGGCTGGTCCTGGTGCTGTAGGGAATGAGCCTCCTCCCCTTCGTTGATTATAGATGGATTTCCATAATGACAAGATCTGAAATTCCCCAGAACATCTGGGGTGGTTTTGTGTGGGAGCTCTGCAATTGCTCTTTTTTCCATCCAAATTATTTCTTCCCCTTACTTGTGCCAGTTTCTCCCACTCTTCATCACCACCTCACTGTGAGCAGCACATTCAGTTTACCATGTTTTGTGACATGATAATTAAATCTAGTGCTGTGGTAAGTAGTGAAGCATCTAAAGCTTTCTCAAATCCCGAGCCTCAAATGTTTTGCGTATAACAGAGGAATTACAGTCATCTTCATGCTCCCGCCCATAAAATTAGCAATGTACTGCAACAACACAGGAAGAATTGTCACAAATTCCTCCAGAGTTTGCTCAATTTTGTAGTGTAACCTGTAAAGAGGGGCTCTGATGAGTATTTCCATAAAGATCCGCTTAAATACTTTGGTCTTGAGGAAGATCTTTCTTAAGTATGTGACAGTTTTAGCAACACCTTGATGTCTCACACTTACAGTCACTAATGTTGGTTGGAGCAGACATAAACTCTGAACATAAAAAAAATTTCATATAATTTTTGTGTTGCTCTCCTCCCCTGCATAACTCCTCTAAAGCAGCAGAAAATGTAAATGTACCAGTAACCCTGGCAGGGGAAAGCAAACTGAACTAAATAGTTAATTTTGCTCTTCAAGAGAAGCAGATTTTAAATTGTAGGTATGGGGTTTTTTGCAGTTTAGTATGAAAAAGATCTTCCAATTAATTTGCTGTTGTATTGCCCTATGCTTTAGTTTGTAGACTTACACTGGAATTAACCTTCACTTTGAATGTTAAGCATTGAAGAAGGGATTTTTCTTTTCTGTTTTATTGTCTAGTTGTAGTCCCATACTTGGACTGTTGGGCATATTGCATTTTTTAATTATTTTCTCTCAGGAGTGTTTGTGATTCTCTTTAAGAAATAATTTACAATATTAAGATCAGAAGGGGCCCCGAGATCACTCAGGTTGAAGGCTTGGAAAGGAGAGAGAACAGTGACTGAGCTGTGCTCTGGCAAGGATTACTCTCATACCATATCAGGAGAGCCTGCAGTTCTGTCAGCCATCACAGAATTAGGAGGAATGATACTGGATTCTGCCTAATAAAAATATTGTGGTCCAGGGACAATTACATTTAATCTTACAGTGGCAGTATCTCAGTTGTATCCTGGCAATATGTGCGTGAAAGAAGCAGCTCCACCCCAAATAACTCCCTTTGTGTTGTGATCATAGCTTTATCTACCCTTATTTTACTCATTACATTTCCAGACACAGAATGCTTTTTTGGGTATAGCTCTGTTCTCTTTTTGTGGAGAGTCAGATTTTCTAGAGATATTTCAAGCTGTCAGTGGATGCTGGGTATTCTCCTTAGTGCTTTGAAAAACCCACTCCAGACATCCCTGAATGTAAAGGAAGACTAACCAGCCTTTGATATAATACCCTTTTACCTAATTTAGGTCTATAATGTATGGATCAAATTCTCTATTGACTGTACAAATGTAAATCTAGTTTATGATAATTTTTCAGGGTAACACCCCCATCTTGAAAAAAATAACTTTTATAAACAGAGAGACAAATAAATGTCGGAATTTTTTTTATAAGCCTAGAGCTGATTCTCACCAGAGTGATGGTTCACGAATTAATGATGAAGCTGAGATATTGGCAAGGAGGAGGCAACATGCTGAGAAATAAAAATGTGTTCTTAAACTAAAAGCAATACTTCCAAATGTCCTAGAAGGCAATGTAAGATCTCTTGCAGGGAGCAAGATTAATATCCTTGCTTCTAATACAATAAACGGAAAGTCAATAAGTGGGAGTGACACAGAATTCTTACAGGGAATATGCAGTTAGCTGAGTTGACAAACACAGGTAATAATTACGTTGTTTCCACAACACTTGGGAACCTGGCTCAAGGAGAAACTCACTGACAAGAATTTCATTCTTCCCCCACTTCCACTGGCACATCCTTTAGAAGCCCTCCTTCCAGAGCTGCTGGGATGCAGGGGTAATAGTGACCTGATAATGATAAGAGAATGAGAACTGCAGAAACTGTGAAGCTTCTTGTTTATAGGTCTGATTTTATGGCTTGAAGCCATGCAGCCATAACATGGTGGGTTAAGGCTGATATATCTCTGTATCTAATATATCTTCTTCTAGTTGAAGATGTCCCTGCTCATTGCAGGGAGGGTTGGACTAGATGACCTTTAAAAGGTCCCTTTCAAGCCAAATTATTCTATGATCTTACATTTCCTCTTCCTTTACCCATTCTTGGCATGTGTTTAGCTCATTCTTGCCTTTTGTCTAAATCAGACTTCACTTTGGTGTGCTCTTTGCTTGAAAGGTAAATAGCATGAATAGAGGCAGCACTAAAATAGTTCAGTTAAGGACAACACAATCTGTCCATCACACTGGCAACTCTTTTTTGGACTCTTTTATTAATGGCATTTGTAAGGCTGAACACAAAAGAGATGGCGTGTATATGAACTTGATGTCAGCATAACACGTAATCAGAAGGTATTGGGAAAGGGATTCAAGCTGCTTTTTGTTAAGACAATTCCACTCATTTTTTTTAGTGCAACCTGGCTTCACTGTGTTATTTCATGGCTTTAGTTCAGGGACAGTAGTCAGCAACATGACTGGGTCACTGAGTAGTGGTAGTTGCATTGCAAAGATAAATGAGCTCACAGTTGAATTAGCAGGTTCTTGGGCATAGCGATTGAAAGGGTTTCATACACACAAATGTCCACAAGACTTTGGCAATTATTGGCACTGGTCTGACACAGGTGAACACTCTTAGCTAATGCCAATTCCAGCTGCTAGAAAAGATGTATTTGAGATGTAATTGGAAAGGACCTAATAAAACTTCTAGTTTTTAAAGACTAGATTGAACCTTGTGAGTATCCAGTACCTGCCTAATGAGGGAAGCTTGCACTTGTATGTATAGTGTTACTGGCCAAAGCAGTGCTGTGTGATTTACTTATCTCTTGTCTGAGCTGTGCTTACCCGCTTTGGGGGCTAAACGGCTTTAAGGACAAGGTAAGGATGGTAGATGGAATTCCTGTGACAGCACATCTCTGTTAAATGCTTTTTGTTCTTTGGTACCTTGCTGACCAGAATTGTGTCAGCAGTCATAAATGCTTTTTGTTCTTTGGTACCTTGCATCCAGAATTGTGTCAGCAGTCACCTTAAACAGGAAAAGGCAACTAGCTCAAGAACTAATTCCACCCATGATTTATGGTACATCCTGTCTTTAATGCAGTGTCCAGTAAATGTTTCTTATTTACCATTCTGTGAATCCAGTTCTTTCCAGCTTCAGCTATTGGAATTTAAGGCAATAAAAAGTAGTAATCATCTAAGCTGGTCTCTATCTATTGAGTTTTTATGATGTAGTTTGTGAGGGATTGCTCATGGACTGAATTAATTCCTTAAGACTTCACTGGCTCAGCCAGAATATATAAGACATGATCCATTCGTGCTTGTGCTGGTGAAAACATTATTGCTTCCATAATATGGTTCTACCTAAGAAAATGTGCCCAAGTACAAATTGCCAGGGGAGCAGCATTAAGAATTTATAGTCTCATCATGGCTCTGTAATTGGGCTCACCAATGAAAGAAGAGAGGACAATGTTGAAAATGAAAGGAAATATTTCTCATTTGCCTCTCTCCAAGGACAGACATTGTGTTATTGTTCTTTGAAATAGGCTGAAGATAGCATGTTAATGAAGTATATGCAGTTAGGTACCTCTAATATCGTTTTATTTGCTCAACAGCCAAATGAGGACAGGGAAATTAGTTTATGATCTGGCAACCATCTGATTACTCCATTTCTGAGGAAGCTCAACAACCTTCTTTATAACTCGGGAGCCCTTTATTATCGTATTGCCATTGTGTCTGAAATATGTATTCTAATTCCATGCCTTGTCTTATTTATGTAAGATAAAATCAAACCTTATTAAAACCCCACATGAGTCTGTTGTATCTGCTCAGAATTCTGAACCTTGCTCATCTGGCAGGAATGTTTTCAGGCTTTTGCAAAATAGCATGACTAGCTTTTCTGGTCTGTTGATGGGATGCACGACCTTAGACTGAGTAAGTGACACAGGTCTGGAGATCAGTATGTGTCTGTCTGCTCTCCTGTCACAGCTCAAGGAATGGACATGTGGCTCTGAGGACAGGCTAGGGGCAAATCTCAGCCACTAATGTCTGTTGTGATACTTGCCTCCTCCAAGATGCCTCAGTCAACTGAGAC